TCACCCTTATCCAAACAGGAAACTGACCCTTGGCCCCTGGACGTAACAGTACACCAGTGGAAATTTCATTATCCCTGTTTCAGCTGAACTAAGTGAAAATTAATTGTGTAATTATCTGGATGAGCGCATGTGTAAAATTTTACAATGTGCCAGTTAGATTAAGTAACGTGTTAGTGGCATGGTTTAGTGCAGAGTCAAAGCTGTCCTATAAAAATGGAATAAAAAAATCTAACAAGGTTGGAAGAAAAAAAAAACATATGTCAGAACAAATACTTAACATGAGAAGGTAAGGTTAGGCTTAATTCTATAACCTGATGAAAATCTTACCCTCCTAAACCATAGGTAAATCTGGCAGGGTTGGAAAGGGTGTGTGTGTGTTTATGTGTGCGTGTGTGTGAACTCACTGGGACATTTGTGTAAAGGACTTCTCCATTTACTGTAATTTTAAAATGAAACCATTATTAAAAGATTTAACTTGCTGACTATTGTATTTTGTATTTTTTGTACATAATTTTACTTTACTAACTACATTAGAAAGTGTAGGCTGTATTCAGTAGATGGGATTATTTGTCTCAGGTATACTTTGTTCACCTGTTCAGTGAAAGGCTCTGACTTTTATTCTGGATTTAATTCTTCAAATGATAAAATAAATGCTTCATCCTGACTTAAGATTATTTCATTAAAATATTTAGATGAGTATGAACTGATTTTAACAACAAATGCATGGGGATTTTCCTTCTGAAGTCTTACTTACTTTGATAAAGATGCTAAAGTACATTTTTCCCCTGAGATTTTGGCCTCACCCTGCCCCTACAAATATTGCATTATGGAGACTATTTCCATTTGAAAGTCTCTGGGATGTTTAGGTAGAAGAATTTCTGGATGGAAAGTATGATTTGGGGTGATGCTTTTTGAAAGCAAGGATCGTCTTTAAATAACATATGAGTAGTGTGTAATCTTAGCCATTCTGAATGTCAGATTTCACAATGTCAGTGCTATCTTGGCAAATCCAGACACTAATTTATGTATCTTGCCAATAAAATGGATCTCCTGTTTTTCTCATTTCTTATACTATATGTTGTCTCTTTAAAGGTATGTTTATGCTAAAAGTCTGTTGAGATTTTTCTTCCACCATCCTCCTCAAAAATGAAACCTCCACTAGACAAAAATAGTAACATTCTCAAAGAAAATGAATTCAAAAAAAGTTTTAACTTTTTTTTAACTTGGATTACTATAATTCTATTAGATGTTTGTATTGGGTTACTAGTGCTTTAAGAGGTTGTTAGTACTTTAAGAAGCTATAAAGAATATGTCTATATTTAGTGGAAAATATTGTAGTATATATAAGCATGATTAAAAGAAAGAAAGCACCAATGTGATTTATAGAACAGCAGGGCAGTCAAAGGACATTAAAAATAATCGAGACCATTCAAAGGGAAAGGCAAAACTTCAGGTCAAAGAACATTAGCCTCAACATGAAAATGAAACTGTGGTATTAAACCTACATTTTACCATAGATTAATTATCAGGAAGGTGTTGGAACAGTCCTTTTCTTTTTAAATAAGACACAATGCCCTCTTCACCAGTTTGAAAGTGTCAGGAGTTGGGGGAGGGGCATTTGTTTGTCAAACCTTAGAGAACAAAATGGATACCAGGAGGTGGCCGTGCAGACTTCATGTGCAGCCCTCCAGATTCCAGAGCAGTGCTTGCGTTTCAGAATGTATCACATCAGGCATGACTTGCCCCTTCTTGGAAGAAACTGTGTTGGTTTCTAAAGCCAGGCCTGGGAGTCTCTCTGTTTCTTTCAGGAAATGGTAAAAATCAGGAGAATCTAGTCGGACATTTTTTTTTTTAAATAAAGCATTTTACGGTTGTTACTGTCCCAACTTTATATGAATAAAATTTTAAAAATTTAATCCAGATTTAAATTTATAACTATAGTTTATATGAACACTTTTTAATAATTATTGTTTTTACATATTTCTTCTTTTTGAATAATGTAAATCTGGAATTTGATTTCTAACACCGAACCACTTAACATTTTAAAATCATATTTTTATTTTAATTGACTCCAATTAAGACCATTGTTTCACTGTAGAATATTAGGACTAAAAGAGGCCTTAAAATCCTCCATGTTCATTCTACACGTAAGAAAACCAAACTCTACAAAGAATAACTTCTCTTCTAGGTCAGCGCTGTCTTAACTAATCTGGGTTTTCTAGTCATCTGGCACTTCCCCAGGCCTCAGTAGGATGACAAACAAATGTGTGATTATATAGGAAGTCAGATGCTAGGTGTAACATACAGGAAGAAGAGGCATAGGATTTAAAGCCAGGATGACCTGGATTTGAATCCTAGATCTGTGTCTTGTTCTGTGTGTGACTTGGGGTATGTAACTTAATCTCTCCAAATTTCAGAATCCCAGATTCTGTGTTGTGTCTACCTCACAAGTTAGTTGTGAACATCAAGTTACACAATCTGTATGGAGCTGCCTAGCACATAATGAAGAACTAATAAAATTCAAATATTTGAGGAGCAAACTTTCGAAGTCAAGAAAGCAGTTTATTAAATTTATGGTAAAACGCATATAGAAAAGCTTTGAGAGTAATCAGGAGGAAATCAAGTTAGCATAAATTTCCTTTTTAATAAGATTTACTATGCATATCCCATATAGAACATGTTTATTCAGTATGCAGGTAAATCTTTCATTTGAGCATTTGAAGAATAGTTGAAGAGAAAAAGAAATACTGAATAACCTAGGAGAAAAATGGGTGTGAATTTACATATATATTTATAATTATATATTTATATATAAACATTTAGTGAACTTATATATAATTAACATATATATGAAACATGTACATATATGTTAATTTTATTGTGATTTATTATTTACACCCCATTTCCTTCCCAAATGAATTCAAAGTGGCAAGTTATATTTTTTCTTTCCTGTTTTTTGCCAAATGTTGATATATTTTGGAAGACCATTTAATAGATAAATTTCTCAAGCCAGATATTCTTGCAGAATTACAAGAAAACTTGGGAAACAAAGCTAAGCACCCGGTGCCAGGATATGAAAATACAGAGAACCTAGTCCATGTGTGTGAGAATCTGAACACTAGAGCTCTCTGTGAAAGAGGGAGAAAGAGATTCCTTTCCCTCACTTCAGTAATAAGAGTAAGGTTACAGGTTTGTTTCTTCTTTCTCATTGCTTCTAGAATTGATTAAATAATTTATTACAAATCCGAGCCAGAATTATTTAAGATGAGGGCTTAAGAAATGGAATAATAGAGTTTTTGAAACTGGTTTAAGGTTTAAAGTCAGCATTTAGTTTCTTCAAAAACACAAATTCATTCATTTGTCATATAGTTCATGAGTGCCAGAAATACAGCAGAAATAACATCCAACCCTTAATTTTATGTAAATTCCATTCTAGTGGTTAGAGACAGAGAAATAAATAAGCAAATACTATGTTAAGTGTTGCATGCTCTGAGGAAATTTAAGAAGAGGAAAGGTGACGGAGGCAGGGAGAGTGCAACGTTATGAAGGGTGGTCAGAGAAGCACTTGTTTATAAGCTATCCAGTGGACAAATTCAACCTTATTCTTACAGCTCACACCTCACAAACTTCTAGTATGTACTGTTTAAGGGTGTACTAGAAAGTATATTTATTTTGTTAGTTTTTAGTTGTCATTATAGCTTCTAAGTAGGAAATACTTGGGTTCTTCATTTCCATTAAGTTGAGGGAACATGAAGTCAATAAGCCTATGATGTGTGAAAGATACTACCTGTATTTTAGCCAAAAGTAGAATCCCATGAAGTGACCCAAAACAGGAAGAAGTAGAGAGGGAGATATTCCATTGAAAAAAGAAATGAAACTGGGGGATGTAAAATAATACAGTTACCAAAGCTAAAAATAAACGAGAATATCTGATCTTAAAAAACATATTTTCTTGGAGAACAGAAATCTAAGACAGCAAAGGGAATTCTTTTCCTTATTGTCCCACTTTTATCCCAAAGATCTGAGGAAGCCAAATGAAAATTTCCTGGCATCCTGGGGCAATAAAATAATCTTGGTCTTCTTGTGAAACCACATTAGTATGGAGAGGGAACAGAGGCCTTTTGAGTGTTCCTAAGTGCTGTGTAAGCTGCATTTTTCTCCAGGAACTCAAAGCTTTGTTTATTTGCAAAGAATTGTGCTACCAAGGCATGGAGGCCTCAGTGGCCCAGGTGACATACTCAGATCTGAACATTTACCAATTAAGAAGCTCTCAATTAAATGCTTGTTCAAGAGCCCAGGGAGACACATCAAAGGTTACTATTGGTTTCTTTAGATATGTTGGCGAAAAAGAAACTGGCATTTCTTTGGTGAAGGTAGACCCAAAAGAAACTGTCCTCAGCAAGCTATAGCTTAACGAAGCCCTGGATGATTTGAGTCATCTCTTCCCTTCACCTTTGCTAGCTTCAAGCATTTTAATGGCAGAAAACTTGATAAAAAGTACTTGAGTTACTCACTTTCCCATTCAAAAAGACTTTAAAATTTAAGTGACTGCAATTGTGAGAGTGTGTGTGTGTGTGTGTGTGTGTGTGAAAGAGAGAGAGAGAGACAGAGAGAGAGAGATGGGACTGATTGGCCAACAGTAGAACATTTGTGGAGGAAGAAGAGTTCATTTTATTTTATAACTGCCCGATAGCAAAATGCTATTTCTTTTCCTAATGCTTTAACATGAAGTCGCCAGCTGCAGGAAGTGTATGGATTACTTACCTCCTCAGAAGCATAGATGTAAATACACACATAATCACTGGGGCTGCTTAGAGTTTGGTCTGTTTTATCTGGGGCCTGAGTTACCCATCCCCATTTTTTTCCAAGCTATCATATTGGAATTCAAGCTTGAACTAATGTTTTCCTGGTGGATTTAGTGCTTAGTAAAAGAGCTATATTGACAGCACACAGCGAGAATTTCTGTTTATAAGAAAAATAAATTTGTGCTCTCTCTCCAGTTCCACTGCTCAAAATTACTCCTGAAGGGATAAGGACCCCAGGACATGCCACTGGACCACTGAAGGTAAGGACTCTAGGGAGGGAAGATTAGATGCAGCCCCAAGTCAACTCACTTGCTTATTGTTAAACACAACTGAAATGCCAGCTTCTCCCACCTGTCACTTCTTTCCCTGGTCTCCTGCTTATAACTTGTCTGTAACATGCCACCTATGGTAGCTTTGCCTTTTTTCAGAATACCTGAAGGTAGTTCAAGGCACTGCATATTCCAGGAAGGGAATGGCCAGCATCTTTCCTAGATTTTGACCGCAGTTGTGATTTTAAACATTTGCCCTGTGTCATACTGTGTCCCAGCCTTGGTTGAGAAAACCTAGTCACCGTAGTGTTGTGTTGTTAACCTGAGTCTCCCCACTGACTCCAGTTGCACTTCAAACTCTCCTGACTTCGCTCATGGTTCTGACCTCTCCCCACAGCCAGCAGGTGCCTCCTAGAGTGATTCTAGTCCCTTTATTGTCATTCCCCCTGAGTTTCTGCTTCTTCATTTTCAAGAGCTGGCTTTCTCACTTCCTGGTTAACCTGCTAGGATTGCTTCTCCAACTCTACCTATATCATTTATTTCAAGATTGCATTTTCTTTATCTGCTAGTTTCTCTTATTGAAATCCTTCCAATAACAAAATTCAGGTTTGTAAATAGCCACTGTAAGATCACTAATTGTTCTAGAAAGAAAAATAACATTTAAAGCAGGAGGTGAGAAGCAGGCTTTCTTAATGATTATGATGTCTACCCATTTCCAAACATTCCCAAGGGATAGTAAGGAATCTTGGAGAACTCTCTGTTCCATCCTTGGCCTACTCTCCTCACTCTCCTCTTGTTCCCTGAGGGATTATATCCACTCTCATGATTTTAATCAGACTTATTTATATGCTAGAATTAACAAAATATCTACATCTCTAGTCAAGACCTTTCCCTGGAATTCTGGATGAACATATCCAACCAAATACCTACTGGATATTGTCACGCAGATTCTCAATATTAACATATCTAAAACTGAATTCAACTTCTTCCCCTTTCAAAGAACATTTCCTGTAATAGAAGTGGTAAATAATTCTATAGTACTTTCTATGTATCAGGCATGATTCAACGCAGTTTCCACATATTTACTCATTGGATCCTCACAGCAATCTTAAGAAGTACATATTATTATTATGGCCGGGCGCGGTGGCTCAAGCCTGTAATCCCAGCACTTTGGGAGGCCGAGACGGGCGGATCACAAGGTCAGGAGATCAAGACCATCCTGGCTAACACGTTGAAACCCCGTCTCTACAAAAATACAAAAAACTAGCCGGGCGAGGTGGCGGCGCCTGTAGTCCCAGCTACTTGGGAGGCTGAGGCAGGAGAATGGCGTAAACCCGGGAGGCGGAGCTTGCAGTGAGCTGAGATCGTGCCACTGCACTCCAGCCTGGGTGACAGAGCGAGACTCCGTCTCAAAAAAAAAAAAAAAAAAAAAAAAAAGAAGTACATATTATCATTATCACCATCCTATGAAGAAACAATGGCACAGAAGTTAAGTAACCTTCCCAAAGGCAGACAGTTAGCAGTGGCAAAGCTGAGATTTGAATTCGAGCTGCCTGGTTCCAGAGGTCATGCTTTTAACCATTGTGCTATTTCACTCTCACACCAGTTAACCTGTCACCAGGACTGGACATCTAGGAATCAGCTGTCACTCTCCTTTCACCTCTTCATCTAAGCAAGCTTGTGTTTCCCTATTCCATCCCTCTCCTCTCAGATACAGTGCTCCATTTTTGCAAACCATTCTTTGCAAAACGGAAAGTCATTCTTAAAGGACTCCCCAACACAGAGAGGACTGTGTCTGACCCTGCCCTGCTCCTTAGCTTTACCCCTTCCCTTCTCTAGCTGGAACAAGAGGCTCTAGCAATGCTCAATCACTTCCCATTCCTTTAAACACAATGCCGTGCTTTTCCTATGGATGTTCTCATGCTGTCCTCCTGTCTGAAATGTTCTTCCCTTTTCCAAGCACCCTCCTCCTAATTCCTGTTCATTTGAAAGCTTCAGTTCAGTGTCCTTTTGCCAGTAAGTCTTCCCTAATATCTCTACCACCACCGTTTACCCTCCAAGTGGATTGGTTCCTCCATCCTTCTCACGTGCTTTGTGGTACATCTTTTGACCTTTGTTTTTCTTTTCTTTTCTTTTCTTTCTTTCTTTCTTTTTTTTTTTTTTTTGATAAGGTCTTGCTCTGTTGCCCAGGCTGGAGTGTAGGGGTACGATCTTGGCCCATGGCAGCCTTGAACTCCTTGATTCCATCATCTAGAATCAATTATTTCTATTTCATTATTCATTCTGTTCATTTCTCTGCCCCCTCCCACCAGAACTATTAGTTCTCTGAGGTCTGTGACTGCACTCGATGAATCTGAAATTCTCTAGCACCTAGTTTGGTAACTGGAGAACAATATAAAATGGATACATTTTTCATGGGTGAGTAGACATAAAGAATGATTGAAAATAGAGTGTCATATGGTGTTTATGCACTAAATATGCATATGTATAAGGAAAAGAAGGGTCAAGACATGCATGGGTCATTTAGCGTGTATTTATGAAACTTCTGATTTGCACCCAGTCTTGGTAATTTGCAGTGATGGACAATGTGACAAACAATTGTAATGAAAATAGGATCATTCCAAATAAAAGCCAAAATGTCATTTCATAAGTGGGTTTGCTGAGCCCAAGTCACTCTCCAGCTGTGTCAGTCATCTCCTTGGGCAGTGTCATGAATTCTCTTGAGTCTCTAGAGTTGCAGGTCATACCAGAAAAGAAGGGCCTCTGCCGTTTGCTACAGGAGGGCTTCCCTCTCAAGGCAGGTGAGAAGCCTCAAGGTCTGGCTGCCCTGACGCTGTTCTTACAGAGTCTCTGGTTGGCAAGTGTGCTGAACTGGACTTCTCTCCATATGAAGCTCAGAAGCAAAAGTGGCTTAGAGACAAAAATAAATAAAGGTCAAAGTCAACTTAGACTTTTCATCATGCTAATGATGTATCCCAGATTACAGGATACGAGCTTAGCTCATCAGAGTGCTGCTTTGAGGTATGACCAAAAGCATAACATTCCTCAGAGCTTTCTGCATGTAATAATTAGTCATCCATTTAAACATCTTTTGAGAATCCATAGATGCCAGTCATTGTGCCACATTCTGGAAGTGAAAAGAAAAATAAGAAATACATTTTGCCTTCATGAAGCTTAGAGTTTGGTGAGTGAGACAGACAAGAAAAGGCATCCAAGAGAATAGTTCATGGGATAAAATAACTTTTTAAAGAAAAAAAAAGAAAAGGCATAGTTACTTGAAATCACATGGGGGATGGGTTGTGGGGAAGCAAAAGGCTTTGTGACAGCATGTGAGGAGGTTCCCTAATACAGAGTAAGGGAGTGAGAGGGAGAAACAAGGATCCTCCCACTTCCCCTATATGTCTTGCCCTCTCAAAACAAGATTGAGAATGACTAGGCTGAGGACTTGCAATTTATCTTCCCACAATTGGTAAGCCATTGAGCCAGCATAGGTGTGATGTTGGGCTATGAATGATGGCATGAATGCTCCCTGGTATTAGAAAGTTCCAGGAGAGTGCGACAAATTTCCATCATTTGTGAATACCATGGAAAATTGCAGGGGGTTAAGTCACTTCATCACTAGCCCCAGAACATCTACCTGCTAGGTGAGAGGAAGCCCTAGCAGCCAGACATGCAGAATGGACCCTCCCTTGCTTAGTGAAGACTGAAAAACTGAGAAACAGCCTCAGCGAGATGTCTCACCCCAGAAGACAGAGTAGGTGAGGCCTCATTTCCAGTCCCCAAAGAACAACAGATATCCCCTACAAAAAAGCCAGCAGCTCAATGTCCAACCCAGAGAAACTAAGAGAGTGGAAAGGCTAAAGTCTGAGGCAGGACCTCAAAGTATAGGCTTAAAGTGAAAATAGAAACAGGCATGGCCAAGGCAAGTTCCTAGATCAATCACTATAAAGACTGAGGATATTGTGCTACCTACCATATGCCAAGAAAAGTGGTACAAAGTGAGTCTTTCGTTCGCCCAAACCCCACCCCAAAACATAAAGTATAGGTAAAAATAGTAGAAGTGCCAACACAACTTGAAGCCCTTTAGCCACCATCCCTCTTCCAAACAAAGTATGAACCCAAAGTCCCTTCTATTTATAAGGTAACCATGTGTCCTTTGTCGTGGGGCAGTCTTGGTTTACAACTGTCTCCTGGAAAACTTATTAATATCATCTTCTTTCATTCTCAAAAGAGTTCTGATATGGGCTATAAATTATCACCACATATGAAAATTCTGGAGCCCCAGTTGTGGCAGGAACTGGGCTCAACACATTTCTTTCTTCCGCTATGATATTTAATCTCACTATTTTCATCTCTATGTTTACAGATGAGAACTTGAGGCTTAGGCAGTTTAAAGAGCTTTCCCAAAATCATAGAGTCATTGAATGGAAATAATGGGAATTGACCTCAAACCTATCTGAGGCTAAAATTTGAACTACAATTATCTATATTTCTTCAGTGAAATACCACTCCTTTGGCAAGAGCACGAAAAGTTGCATCCAGTATTAAACTAATGAAGAAATTCCATGAGGAATTGTCAGACAAAAATCACTGTGTACTTACTGTATTCCAAATAACCATGTTTTAATGTATTTGAATTGGGTCTCAAGGACAACTGCTTTGACAATAGAAAGAAGCTAGCATGAGGGATTGTGTTTCAGGAAGAGGAAACATGGGTGAGAATGAATATGGCTGATAAAGAACTTATGGACGTTTAGTGAAATGAAAATAAGGATGTTCGGGTTTGGAGAATAAGCAGAGAGTAACCATTGAGGTACTTGACTAAAGACTTGGACTTCACCCTTCATGAACTAGGGATTCCTTGAAGCCTCCTACCCAGGGAGAAATATAAGATAAGCATCCCAGAGGCTGGTGGGGGATGGGATTATAGGGGATTAAACTGAAGGCACTAAACTGTTCATGAAGGTCAAAACTAAAGCAGTAACAGTGGG